TTGTTTTTTGTTCTTAATATAGGTTCTTCATCTTCTAGTTAATGTATTCCAGAAGTTACCCTCTCCAGACTATTTGAGCATTTGTCAGGGTCTCATGTTCTTGGATGTTCCTGAAGGTGTTGCTAGTATCTTGGAAAAGCTTCTTCAATCTGAGAATAAGGATGATGCTCTATTGGCATTTCAAATTGCCTTTGATCTCATAGAGAATGAGCACCAGGCTTTTCTCTTAAATGTTATAAATCGCCTTTCAGCTCCCAAGTCTCAACCTTTGGAAACTTCACAGCTAGGATCCAGTGATGCAGTTACTGCTCAAAGGGAAAACTCTGCTGCCCAAGAGGATGTTCAGATGACAGATGGAGCTACTGCTACTACTTATTCACGTGAAACTGATCGAAATGAAGTGACGTATTCAGAGAAGCTGACTAAAATCAGAGGGATTTTGTCTGGAGAGAAGTCAATACAGTTGACTCTACAATTCTTATACAGTCATAACAAGTGAGATGATTAACATCTTTTAGTTGTCTTTAATGGTAACCCATTCTTTTGTTCTGCTAAAATAATTATTCCTAAGATATTGACACTGATGATTATGTTTTGTCACAGATCGGATCTTCTAATTTTAAAGACAATAAAGCAGTCTGTTGAAATGAGGAACAGTGTCTGTCATAGTGCAACAATCTATGCAAATGCAATTATGCATGCTGGAACAACAGTAGACACATTCCTTCGGGATAACCTGGTAAAAAGTTTATCTTTATTCATGTTTAATTCACTGTTATTTTATTGATATACATGTTTATGGAATTGTTATGAAATGGTTCTATTTTTTATCATCAGGACTGGCTGAGCAGAGCTACAAATTGGGCCAAGTTCAGTGCAACAGCAGGGCTTGGTGTAATTCATAGAGGTCACCTACAGCAGGGAAGGTCCCTAATGGCACCTTATCTGCCTCAGGGTGGGGCAGGTGGTGGCAGTCCATACTCTGAAGGTGGTGCACTTTATGCTCTGGGTCTCATTCATGCCAATCATGGTGAGGGCATAAAGCAATTTCTCCGTGATGGCTTACGCAGTACAAATGTAGAGGTAAGAAAATGCTTTTCTGGACTATGATGGCATCTTTTCTTACTAAGAGCCTTTTGCTTAATTTTCAAGCCTCATATTGGAAACTATTGTGCAGGTTATCCAACATGGTGCGTGCTTAGGTCTTGGTTTGGCAGCTCTAGGAACCGCTGATGAGGATATATATGATGACATCAAAAGTGTGCTTTATACTGACAGTGCTGTTGCTGGGGAAGCTGCTGGTATCAGTATGGGTCTACTCATGGTTGGAACTGCAAGTGAGAGAGCAAGTGAGATGCTTGCTTATGCACATGAGACACAGCATGAAAAAATCATAAGGTAAAATTTGGGTTTGCAACCTCAGTGTTTGACTGCAGTTTGTGAAGCCATGCTCTTTCTCCTTTATTCATAGGTTCTTGTATGCTGCAGGGGTTTGGCACTGGGGATAGCTCTTACTGTTTATGGAAGAGAAGAAGAGGCTGATACATTAATTGAACAGATGACTCGAGATCAAGATCCTATACTACGTTATGGCGGTATGTATGCCTTGGCATTGGCATACAGGGGAACTGCAAACAACAAGGCAATTCGTCAGCTGCTGCATTTTGCTGTATCGGATGTCAGTGATGATGTTAGGAGGACGGCTGTTCTAGCTCTTGGATTTGTACTTTACTCAGAGCCAGAGCAGGTTTGTGCAACTATCTTGTTCATTTTATTCTCTTTCCAAATGTGCGCATATGCTGTGTCCTTCCCCCCTTTTCTTAACATTGTGATATTACATTCTAATATCATCATTTGTCTCACTACATTATACTTAATTGCAGACTCCTCGAATCGTCTCATTGCTCTCTGAGTCTTATAACCCACATGTTCGCTATGGTGCGGCTCTTGCTGTAGGCATTTCCTGTGCTGGCACTGGCCTGAGTGAGGCCATATCATTGCTTGAGCCTTTGACATCAGATGTTGTTGATTTTGTTCGCCAAGGTGCCCTTATAGCAATGGCTATGGTCATGGTCCAAATTAATGAAGCCAGTGATTCTCGTGTTGGAACATTCAGGTATCATACTAAATTATTTTCATCTTTTTCAGCCTCTTGTTTTGTGAAAATATCTTTTTCAGTACACTATTTGTTGAATGTATTAGTTTCTACATTTACTCTTCTTATATGATTCTAATTTTATTTCATTCCCCTTTTTGTAGACGGCAATTGGAGAAAATAATACTTGATAAGCATGAAGATACAATGAGCAAGATGGGAGCTATCTTGGCCTCAGGTATCCTTGATGCTGGTGGGAGGAATGTGACTATAAGATTGCTTTCCAAGACAAAACACGATAAAGTCACTGCAGTTGTTGGTCTTGCTGTGTTCAGCCAGTTTTGGTATTGGTATCCCCTCATATATTTCATAAGCTTGTCATTCTCTCCCACAGCATTTATAGGCTTGAACAATAACTTGAAAGTTCCAAGGTTTGAATTCTTATCACATGCAAAACCATCACTGTTCGAGTATCCAAAACCAACTACAGTGCCAACCACCACATCTACTGTGAAACTTCCAACTGCAGTTCTGTCAACATCAGCAAAGGCTAAAGCCAGGGCCAAGAAAGAGGCAGAGCAGAAGGCTAATGCTGAGAAGTCATCAGGCTCAGACCCCAAGGGAAAATCAAGCGAGAAAGACGGGGAGTCAATGCAGGTAAGTCGCATAAGTTGTTTGTCTTGGTTTTCCTGCATTACTATCAAAAAAACAATGGGTAACAATCTGCTTTACATACTTGGCAGGTTGATGCCCCTGCAGAGAAGAAAACAGAACCCGAGCCTGCCTTTGAAATTTTGACAAACCCAGCAAGGGTTGTTCCAGCTCAGGAAAAATTCATCAAGTTCTTGGAAGATAGCAGATATGCGCCAGTGAAGTTAGCACCATCTGGATTTGTTCTCCTGAGAGACTTGCGTCCTAACGAACCGGAGGTTCTTTCCCTTACAGAGGCACCTGCATCCACGGCATCACCTGCCACAGGATCAGCTGCAGGGCAGCAGGGTTCTGGGTCAGCCGTGGCTGTTGATGAGGAACCTCAACCACCTCAGCCATTTGAATACACTACATAATTGGCGTTTGCTTGATTTGGACAAGTGTTGTGTTCTCTTTCTGGACTTAAGTGTACATTTTTTTTTAACTTATATTTTCTAGTTGTACCCATAACTTTTGTTGTATTTTCAAAATGGGTTCAGGAACGTTTACTTCAATATAATCTGCATTATCTCCATTGATGATGTTTCTAAATATAGCATCATCCTAAAGCTACACGTGAATCGTGACTCATAATTTCTTACTGATAATGGAATATATATAT